AGTTTTACCCGTTTCATTCCCAAAGTTTGATAATTTCCTGCTCCACCTCCATTCTCAATTCTTGACACACAAAACTGATAGCCATTATGAACCCATATTGGAATTGCAAAAGAGAGGCATGCTAGATGAAATACATGTTACAATTCACTCAAAAAAGAATTAATAGTAATATTTGAGGAAACAAGACGTCACAAGGCATAAAACAATGGTATCAGAGCACATTACCATTTGCAAAAATAATATTAATAAACAACAACAACCCAGTTAAATCCCACAAGAGTAGGGTCTGGGGAGGGTGTGTGTACGCAGACCTTGCCCCTACTCGAAAGTAGAGAGGCTGTTTCCAAAGAGACCCCCGGCTCAACGTCGAAAGTTGCATTGCTTGACTAACTGCTACTTCATTAATTAAAGAAGCGCAAAAATAATATTAATAAATGCAAAATAAATGAATAGATATGCATGTCCGTGGGAGCGGAGCACCTGGCTGGCTCCTGGCTAAAACCAGAGACAAGCCAGGAAGGAGCAACTTTGGTCCATTTGCAAAAAGATAAATAAATGTGGGCAAGTGAGAATGCATGGCTGGACTTCTTCAGTATTTGCAACAATAAGCATCACGGGTAATACTAACCCTAATGGAAGGGATTAAAATGCAATTGTAGCCACAAAATGAGACATAGTTGTTACATACCAGATGCAATCTTTACCCGATACTATCTTTACAAAATAACCACTAAATGCAAAAAAATAAAGACTGACGCAGATAATTCAAGATTAAAATTTTATTACTAAATTATTATTGAATTGTAGATTACTTCACTCCAAAACTGATCAAAATGGATCACTAGCACTTTGGAATTGTTCATACTTACATGGTATTAAAAAGAAAGAAAACCATAGAGCATGTTGAACGTATATCTAAGTTATTACCAACAATAATTGATTCATCTAAAGAGTTATCTATATATATCACGTTCTTCACATGTATAAGTCATAATGGATATATATTGTCAGTTCCCTTATTATGATGATGGTGATGACGATGATGATGATGATGACAAAATAATAATAATAGTGATATGAATTGTAATAGTAATAGTGATAATAAATATAATAATAATAATAAATACTCTCTCCATCCCTAGCTACGTTTTTGCCTGTTCTTGGCACAATTATTACAAAAGTGGTGTGTTGAGATTTATTTAGAAAGAGGGAAAAATTATGACCCATTTTTTAGCACTATTAATTTTGCTACAATGTAGTATTTGTGTAATGTACTGAAAAACATAGAGTCAATTCCCCCACACGGGTCCCATCTGGGAGAGCCACAATGATGCCACTGGAGCACGGGGTTTTTTGCCCGACCAACACAATTGTTTTCATAAAGGGTAATGGGAGAACAATTTCAAAAACTAGGAAGCCATATGAAACAGCACCGCAGTTTTTTGACATTTAAATTGGATGTCATATTCTGGCATTGAGTACCTACAGTGTTCCTATCAAAAAGTTGATGGTCCCTAGCCCCTGGAAACACCCCCCCCCCCCCCGGTTTGGCCCAGCCCTAATGCACTCCTCCTAATTGCACCCCTAAGTTTTTGCTTTGGAGTCAAAAATGAACGCAAAGTCAACATAATTTAGGAGTGCAATTTGCAGGGGTGCATAAGGGCCAGGCCAGACGGAGTGTCGGGGGTTGGAACCATCAAATGTTTTTATTGAAGTGCACCCAAATTGCCTCAATTGAACTGTTAGATATTCGGGAGCGTCAACGAAGACTTTCCTTAGTCCACAATAGGAAAAACAAATCAGGAGAATGAAGCCAAAGTGTGGTGACTTTAATTGCCTCAATTAAACTGCCTTGTCTTTTATTCCCTTTCAAATAAAGTCTTCCTCCACATATTTTAAGTCCCTTGACTGAAAATAAGAAGAAAGCAAACCAAAAACCTTTTTTTGTTATTCTTAAACCATTAAGTAATCAAATAATACACTTCCCCTCCTCTTCCTACATTATGGACGAAATGTCCATCTCCCTAATCCCCCCATTATCTCTTCAATGAAATAATGTATAATTGGCCAAAATTAATGTCAAACCATAAACCAAATCAGGCCCTTGTCACCTCATTTGGCCTAATTATAGGCCCCAAAACAGGCCCCCTTTTATTCACCACCATAACCACCAAATCTGCTTCCTTGTGCTCCCCACTTTGGCCAAACAAACACCCACAAAAGGCCAAAAGAACCTGACCTGCCACCAACCATATCAACCAGCCCTTGTTCCCCACTCATGGTCTAAAGCATAAGTCCAAATTAGCCAATCAATCTCCCCCTTTTTGTTCCCCTACCTACTGGCCAAAATAACCC